CACCTGTCTTTGTTCTGTCCAGTGATGGACACAAGAGACTGGCCGGCCCATCTGGTTGGATTTTGTCCCCTCAAGTGTAATTCAGTGACAGTATGTGAGCCAGGAAGTTTCTGAAGCTTTAAAGCACCCATTTTTAAGGGAGACCTAGTTGCAGCCACCCAGAGGGAGATCCACCTCGGTGGCTCCATGCTGCCACTCCTGGCAACGGGAACCTTGGACAGTGGGTTTGATCAGCTGCTACCTGGCTGAGCTCCCTGTGACTGACAGGAGCCCACTGGAACTCTAAGCCAAGAAGAAGGCTGATAGGGCCTGTGTCCTCATAGCAATAGCCCAAATGGTGAGGCAACAGGCATAGTCACCATCCCAACCGATGTCTCTGGGCCCTACACCAGCACCTACCCTGGGGTCTCACCGCAGCTGGCATCCTTCGTGTGTCACCATTGTATGAGGCAGGTGTCAGTGTGAGGCAGCTTGCCAGTGCCTCATGGCTCCCTCGAACCCCTAAGGGCCGTTCTTCCTCAGTGTCAGCAAGCAGGCAGTTCCACTGTAATCCCTGCTAGTGCCTAACCCCATGGCACTAAGTTCCCATTCTAAGTCTAATAACAAAAATAATCTCATTGATATAGAAAAGTCTTGTTAGTCATAGAATCATAGAATGGTTTAGGTTGGTGGGACCTAAAAATCTAGTTCCACACTCTCTGTCATGGGCAGGGACACCTTCCACTAGATCAGTCTGCTCAAAGTCCCACCCAGCCTGGTCTTGAACCCTTGCAGAGATGGGGCATCCATGACTTCTCTGGGCAACCTGTTTCAGTGCCTCACCATACTCACAGGAAATAATTTCTTCCTAATATCTTCCTATTCTAAATCTATCCTCTTTCAGTTTAAAAACACTCCCTGACAAAGAGTCCCTCCTCTGCTTTCCTATAGGTCTCCTTTAAGTACTGAAAAGCTACAAGAAGGTCTCCTTGGATCCTTCTCTTCTCCAGGCTGAACAATATCACCTCTCTCAGACTGTCTTCACAGCGGAGATGGTCCAGTCCCCTCATCATCTTCATGGCCATCTTCTGGACCTGCTTGCTCAGATTAATGTCTTTCTTTATGCTGGGAGCTCCAGCGCTGAAAACAGTACTCCAGGTGGGGTCTCACGAGAGCAGAGTAGAAGTGGGGAATCACCTCCCTCTGCTTGCTGGCTACACTTGCTTTTGATGCACCTCAGGATATGGTTGGCTATCTGGGCTGTAGGTGCACATTGCTGGGTTGTGTCAAGTTTCTCATCAACTAACACCCTTCTCTCAATCAACTCATTATAAAACAGTCAAAATTTTTACACAAAATTCTTTCTCACAACAGCTTTTTTAGTGTGTGGGACTATACTTACACTCCTAATGTTACTTTCTGTCCTTGTTAAGAATGATGGTGCAGCAAGGAGAGAGCCTACTATGAGTTATCAGCATCCTCAAGTCTTTGCCAAAAGGAGTACAGTATAGCCCAGTGCAGTGTACTGTAGTATAGTTCTTCCTACTTGGTTTTGGTTTTGCTTTGGTTTATTTTTATATACTTCCTTATCATAATCTGCCTTCCTTTCACTAGTTCCCAACTGAAGTTTAAAAGGTGCAGAGTACCTTTCCCTGCCTCAGTTACCATGAAAGTGATATTATTATGCAGTGAACCCCAAGGCATGTCAGACCTGTACCATATATGATATTCACAAATCTTAACCTCAAACAGGTTTAGTAATATTTGTTTAACTACTACATAGTTATTAAAACAGCTTAACCTGCTTCAAGCCCAGACAAGTCCCAAGACCATGCACTACTAAGTCAGTACACACCCTCAAGCTTTTTGCTATTAATGGAAAAAAAATCATATTTACTGCTCTACATTAATGGAGATTTTAAGGAATTGAACCATCTTAGCACAGACAGAGAATGTTCAGATATTCACAAGGAGGAGTGAAAGAAGATAAACTGATAGCAAAGACAGTATCAGAAAACAGAGTCAGGCTGGTCCCTGTCATGAAGCATGAGTGCAGACAATAAAATGGAGTGGAAGAAATCTGAAGACTACTAGGGAACTGTAGGAAGCCTTCTAACTTGTGATGGGAAGGAAGAGCTAGGCTGGCATCAGTGCTGGATGTTAGATAGATTTATTAAGCATTTTCTGGCTAAGACCCAATGATCTGTGAAAAAGTTCATGCTCATCACTCTGTTAGATAGCAACAACAGAGAGATCTGGGGTTTCTGCTTTCACATACTCACTACTGACAGCAGAACAACCTAAAAATTACCGGTGTATTGGTTAGTTTGCATACTGGAGACAGATAATTAAAGACTCATTTTGATAATTCTGCCTTAGCCATACAGACATAGAGCTGTTGTCTGGCAGTTTCTAGAAGAGTGAGCAAAGCTCACTGGAAACTCACTTTACTCTTTGGAATCAAAGCATATGCTATGACAGTGGTTTCTACAGACAATGAATGAGGGACCACTGTCAGCCCACAGAACTTCCAAGAAAACCTCAAGAGCTCCAATAGCAGGATCACCTTTGAAAGCTTTATAGATTAACAGAGACAAAATTTTTGGAGACCATCTACCTTGGCATAGTGATGGTCTGCATGCCATCCCTGATCAAGAAGGTGCCAGCTTCCCCTGCATTACTTTCTGGTTGACAATGTAGCTCCAGGGAACTACAGTCACAGCCAGAGCTCTTTTTTTTTTTTTTTTTTTTTTTTTTTTGATTTGCCTTTTAGACAAGACCTAATCCAGGCATTATGCATCTGGAGAGCAAGCTATGGAACGCATAGACTGTAAACTCACAGGAGCAACTAAGAAGCCTCCATATTCTTCCCAAACCACATGTTCACCTCTCTGCTCTTGACAGGCAGCATCATTTTCCACCTCCAAATGGACTTGGAATAGAGGAGGTCCTCCCATCCCCCTAATGGATTTGCACTCCGCTGGCAATAAATAAGACTGTAAGAAAAGAGAAACCAAGCATGCTGTTACCCTCAGGTGTTCTTTGAACCTCTCTCTTTCTATACAGATCGGAGCTTTTGTACCATCTAGAAGATATCCGCACAGTTAGTAAATGCTGGTAGATTTCTTCTCCATGAACATGTCTAAGTTTCTTCTGAATCCATGTAAACCTTTAGTTCACAATGACAAGGAGTTCCACAGCTTAACTGCATAACTTGTGAAGAAACCACACTGAGAAATGCATGAGTTTTTTCACACAGTAATGCAGCTCATGTGGAAGACTTTGCTCCTGACAGGTAACTGTCAGCTCAGAGTCCGTGTTTTCATATGTGGCACTGCATCACGTTTTCCCACACACATAGCTTTGTGTTTATAACTGTACTGAATTTTGTATGCTGTTTAATGGTGCAGTTTACTCAGTGTAATGAAAACCTTCAGTGTTTCTTAGGTTTCACTCATTGTCCTTATTGCCTGGAATACATTCTATTACTTCATGTACAGAAAGGTTATAAACCAAAACTGTGCTCAAAGGCTATTGATGACACAGCCCTAACCAATGAAAAGAGGAACAAATTGAAACTAACATTCACAGCACATATGCGAAGGAAGCTACAGTCTTTATTCTCTACATATTGAGGTGGTTGGAAACACAAAATATGGAAGAAAGTGACCAAGAGGTTCACATTTTGTGCAGGCCTCCGGTCACTTCGCTGCCTCATGACATCCTCACTCCTCCTCTTCTATCTTCTTGCCATGAAACTCCCGGCTCTTCACTCGGAGCTTGTTGACCTGCGACTCTGCAATGTCAGCCCGCTCCTCGGCTTCCTCCAGCTCGTGCTGGATCTTGCGGAACTTGGAGAGGTTGACATTGGACAGCTCCTCCTGTGCAGGGAGAGGGAGCAGGTGGGAACGAGCACAGGGTAGGGGTTTTAATCCCAATGTCCCTCAGCCTTGCAGGGCTGTGGATCTTCCCTGGGGGAAGGTCCAGACCTTTATCCTCTAGCTACTGCTGCCCCCATGTAAGCCTCCCACAGACTTCCTCAACCTCCCTTATTCAGGATCCCACTGTGACAGGCTACACCAGTACTGTGGCACTCTTAAGAAGAAATATCGTCTGTTTGAATTGTCATTTCTTACTTACAATCCCACTACTTGCTGCCTAATTATGAGTGTGACTCTCTGCTGTTTATTACTAGCAGAGTCACGAATTTTAGCCAACTTCAGTCAGTAGATGGGCCCCTGGGACTGGGTTTCGGTTTGTTTATTCAAACCTCCTGCACCTGCCTTCAGTTTATCCCTGCCTGCAGGGTGCCCAAAACTCAGCAAGGCCTCATGACATGATAGTGAAGTGGCATGGCCAAGACTGTTGTGTCTCAGCAGTTTCTTTCATGCCCTTTCTCTGGTAGTCATACTCATCTCAGTCAGCATGCTGCCCCAACGGAAGGTGGCTCTTGCCCATTCACTGAGCGATACTTACAGCCTCCTCAGCTTGTCTCTTGTAGGATTTCACCTTCCTCCGCCGCGTCCACCAGATCCTGCAGCCGCAGAATATTCTTCCGGTCTTCCTCCGACTAGAGTGTTGGTAAGCAGGAAAGAGAAAGAACAATTGGTTCTGCATCAGGTGAGGTGGGTAATTTCCCTTTGAGGATGGTGTGTGCAAAATCTGAATTACTGGACTTCAGTAAAGCCTTTTACACCGTTTGCAGCGCTCTCATGAAAAAAAAAATCATAGGTTGTCACTAGTGGTGTTGCCCAGGGTTCAGTATTTGGGCTGATTCTCTTTAATATCTTTATCAGTTTTCTTCATTAAGAGATAGAATTCTCCCTCATCAAGTTTGCAGATAACACCAAGTTGGCCAGAAGTGTTGATCTAATTGAGGGTAGAAAGCCACCACAAAGGGTCGTGGACAGGCTGGATTAATGGGCTGAGGCCAATTGTATGAGGTTCAACAACGTCAAGTGCCAGGTCACACACTTGGGGAAGAGTGGCTGGAAATTTGCTTGGAAGAAAGGGACCTAGGTTTGCTGATCAACAGTCGACTGAAGGTGAGACAGCAGTGTGCCCAGGTGCCCAAGAAGGCAAATGAAATCATAGCTTCTACCAGCAATAGTGTGGCCAGCAGGAGTGATCCAGCAGTGATCATCCCCCTGGACTTGGCACTGTTGAGGCTGCAACTCAAATACTGGGTTCAGTTTAGGGCACCTCAATGCAATAAAGACATTGAGGTGCTGGAGTGTTACCAAAGACGGGCAACAAAGCTGGTGAAGGGTCTAGAGCACAAGTCTTGTGAGGAGCAGCAGAAATAACAGGGAGTATTTAGTCTGAAGAAAAGGAGACTAAGGGAAGACCATATCGATCTCTGCAACTACTTGGAAGGAGGTTGTGGAGACGTGAGGGCTAGTCTCTTCCAACAAGTAAAAAATGGATAGTACAAGAGAAAAAATCCTTAACTTTCAGCAGGGGAGGTCTACGTTTGATAGTACGAAAAATTTCCTCGCTGAAATGGTTGTAAAACACTGCAACATGCTACTCAGGCAAGTGCCTGAATGATCATTCGTGCAGGTATTTAAATATTGTGTAGATGTGGTGCTTAGGGACATAGTTTAGCAGTGGTGTTAGTAGAGGTAGGGTAGTGGTTTGACTTGACTATAAACACCTCTTCCAAGACAAATGATTCTATGATCCTACATATGATATGCTGAGAAAAAAGGGCCAGCCCCAGGAGACAGAATTGGCTGCC